GAATCTAATTCATGGGCTGCGCCGATTGTGTGCATAAAAAGAAATCAAACCAAGTTAGAGTCTGCGTTGATTTTTCGACAGGGTTGAACTCGGTAATTAAGGACTACCATTACCCGTTACCGAGTCCGGAGGAGATTTTTAACAAGCTAAATGGCGGAGTTATATTTTCAAAAATCGACTTATCAGATGCCTATCTCCAAATTCCCGTCGAAGAGGAATGTTCGAAGTTACTAGGGATAAACACGCATAGAGGGTTATTCAAGTACAACAGGCTTCCTTTTGGTATTAAAGTGGCACCAGCCATTTTTCAACAAGCTGTGGACGTCATGTTGAATGATTTAGACTTTGCGTGCGCCTACTTAGACGACATCATAGTAAGGAGCGAAACCGTCGACGAACATCGAGAGCATCTCAATCAAGTATTTAAAAAGATTCAGGACTTTGGTTTTAAAGTCAAAGAGTCAAAATGCGAATTTGGTTTGGAGGAAATTAAGTATTTAGGTCACATAATCAACAAAAAGGGCAGATTTCCAGATCCGGAAAGGTCCATTGCGATTAGAGACATGCCGACGCCCACTAATGTGGCGATGCTACAGAGTTTTCTGGGGCTCGCAAATTATTATCAAGCGTTCATTAAAGGAATGTACAATTTAAGAGCTCCGTTGAATGAACTGCTAAAAAAAGACAAGGCATGGGAATGGACGGTAGAATGTCAGAAAGCCTTTGATGAAATAAAAGAAAATGCTTACGTCCGACCTCTTTTTTAACCCATTACAATCCAAAACTGGATATTGTAGTAGCAAGTGACGCTAGTTCATACGGGATAGGAGCGTGTATTCAACACATAATGCCAGATGGTTCTAGAAAACCAATTGCACATGCTTCGAGAACTTTGCTCCCAGGAGAAAGAAGTTACTCCCAGATAGAAAAAGAGGCACTGAGTATCATTTTTGCCATACAAAAATTTCATAGATACATCCACGGCAGACATTTTATGCTTGAAACGGATCATAAACCTCTGATCACTATTTTTGGTTCAAAGAAAGGGTTACCCGTTTATACAGCAAATCGTCTGTTGAGATGGGGAACCATTCTTCTCAATTATGATTTTCACATAAAGCACTTATCATCCAAAAATATAATTCATGCGGATAGTTTATCAAGACTCGTACCGAGTCAAGAAGAAAGATTCGAAGAATCAATTATTGCAAATATAAGAGCAGATTATGAGGTGAAAAGCATGGTAAACAACATTGTAAGAGAGTTACCGGTTACACTAAAGGAAATTAAAAAAAAGGAAAAACGATGATTTCATTTTAGAAATAAAAAAGCAAAATGGTAGCAAATGACCAAAAAGTGCAGGAGATTTATTCAATAGGTGAAGGAGTTTTATTATATGGTGAGAGAGTTGTAGTACCAAAAAAAGTTGCAGAAAAGAATACTACGGGACTTTCATATGGGTCACCTGGGGTTAATAGAACAAAAAGCTTAATGCGAAGCTTTGTATATTGGAAAGGAATGGATGTGGATATCGCAAACATGGTTCATCGATGTAAAGGGTGTGCGTTAGCAGCTAAGGCACGACCTATAGTACACAAACCATGGCCCAAGACGGATCATCCGTGGACAAGATTATACATTGATTTCGCTGGTCCAGTAGAAGATTATTACTACTTAATAGTGGTAGATAGTTTTACAAAATGGCCGGAAGTACTACGCTGCAAAAAGCCTACGTCTAATACCACAACAACTTTCTTGCATGAACTATTTGCACGGTTCGGTGTGCCAGAGTGTATTGTGGTGACAATGGTACACAATTCACTTCTGAAGAATTTAAGGAATTTTGTGAGTTATATCAAATTAACCACATAACGACGCCGCCGTATCATCCGAGGTCCAATGGACTCGCAGAAAGATTTATCGATACTTTAAAGCACGCTCTGAAGAAATCCTCAGGAGTTCCAACGGAAAAGGCGCTTCAGCAATTCCTACAAGTATACAGAATCACGCCAAACCAGAGAACAAACTCAAACATGGCACCAGCTGAACTAATGTTCGCTAGGAAAGTTAAGTCAGTGTTTGACAAACTTTTGCCAGAAAAAAATAGAGTAAAGAATACTATGTATACAGCGAGAAAAAGATACACCTCCGGAGAGAAGGTGTTTTTCAAGTGCTACAAAAACAACGTTGAGTTCTGGGAGCGAGGCATAGTGGACAAGAGAATCGGTGACCTGGTTTACATAATTAAAGGGCCGAAGAATACTCATAAAAGGCACCAGAATCAACTTAAAAAATGTTACGTTATAGAGCATGAAGAGAGTATACCGGATGAGGAGGAAGATCCCATTGAGGTAATGTATGATATGTTTCAAGTAGAACCTCCGCAGAATACTCCTGAACCGAGAAGATCCGGTAGGAAACGAAAGTTCACGGACCCATTGGACGTGAATCCAAAACGGAAAAAATATTAAAATTAAGCGGATGGACATATACATATGAAGTATGCAAATGGATCTACAAAGAAATAGCCATAATCATCAACCCATATAGGAAGCCAGTTTGAAATCCAAAAGGGATTCCAAGGGTTGGGAGGGGGGTGTCGTGGTAGGATCCACCTAATTTGCATAGTGGAATACCGACCATATAAATATGGTTGGTACCGGGAAGAGAGGGGGAATCAAGAGATTCAACCAGAGACTCTGCCCGACTGCGACCCAGTCAACACATTCTCCAGGAACGGTCTTACCAGGAATATACAAATGTCTATATGTAAATATTGTGTACACTTTCTTGTTTCAATACATTTTGTTCTAAGTACATTTTGTGTTGCATTATTATTCCATGCATTAGTCAAGTTTCAACAATATATATATATACAACGTATATATATATATATATATATATATATATATACAACGTATTGATAAATGATTATATTGTAAGCGTATCCTCGACGAGGCTAAGTCATTGTTTGGTGATGACATGCCGTATATTCTCTCACAAGTGATTACTGGCGGATCTATAAATGTTAAATAAGAATAATCCTTAATCCCACCTCTTTTCAACCAGTTTCAATTGATGTCGTCTGCGGTATCTTTACCTGATTTTTAGATGTGTTAACGTTTATCATTGAAAGAATATATCAAGTTTTAGATAAGAACTGTGAAACTCTCTTTATGGTTTTAGATATCTCGAAGGCGTTTGACAGGGTTTGGCATGCTGGTCTTTCTAACGGGTTCAGGGGCTATAGTGTCTTTGGTCGAATTTTCGTTTTGATCCAATCTTTCTTAACAAATCGTGTAATGAAAATCACGTTGAACAGACTTTCTAGTTCTTTTCACATTACTACGGGGATCTCTCAGGATTCTATCCTTGAACTTACTTTGTTTCTTATCTTCACCAACTGCTTTCCCGGTGTCATCAGTTCCCAACTCGGTATTTATAGTGATGACACAATTATTTACTCCTATCTAAATAAAGTAAAACTGTCATCTGATCTCGAAGATGACCTTCAATCAGTTGTTAACTGGAGCAAAAAATGGCTTGTCAATTTTAACGCCTCCAAAATGATACTGCTGCCATTTAGTAATTTTACAGAACCATTTTTGCCTTTCATCAGCCTAGCTGATGCCAACTTCAAAGAGAGCAACTCATTATACCTTTTTGGTTTCACGTTTTCTTCTGGCATGAAGTGAAGTGATTATTGGTTTGCTGCTAGGAAAGTTGATTCACTGTCTCGTACCAGACATTTTTTGCCAGAATCCATCTTACAAAATGATAAAACTAGCATTCGACCGTGGACTGAATATTGCTGCCACATATGATCTGGTGCTCCTGTTATATAACTCGGGATACTTGACAAAATCCAAAGAACGGTCTGTAATGTTATCGACCCTGGAATCTCGACATCAGTCACTTTCCCCCCTGCCGTAACATGGTTTCTCTCTATCTATTATATAAATATTTTCATGACAATTGTTCTGATGGGTACATCGACCGCATGAATTTAAGCGTTGTACTAGATTGTCAACTAGGTCTCATTGTTTTACTGTTGAAATAGAAACCGTTACTTCTGTTCGAATATTTTATTTTCTCGCACTTCTTACTTCCCTGGCACGTACGATCTTCAAAAATTTAAGTGCAATATCAATCGTCGTCTTTTGTCTTTGTCATTTCTTCTCACTGACGTCTTTCTCATTTTCTTTCATTCTCATTTTCTTTCATTCTCAATAACATCTTACGTTTTAGTGGGACTACCACCTTGTATCGTATGAAAAGATTAAAACAAATATTCAACATAATTTTAAACTAATTATTCTATGTAACTGTCGCATTATATACCTTTAGTTTTATACCGTCTACATTTTCGATTTTCTTCTTTTTTTAATTTCAGGAAAAAATAAAAAAAGACGATGATCTTGTCACAAAATGTTTTCATAGGTTTTACCATTGCATTTGTGATAAACAAGTCATCGGCTACACGAATTTTAGGTGAGATTATATTTAAATCTAATTTATTACTTTTTCTGTCTATTACAAACCCTTGTAAATAGAGACTGCTCATTAAAAATGTCACTTGAATTTCTGGTAAAAATAAATATGGTGTTTTCTTTTAATTTTTAATTTTTTTTATTGTAGACAAGATGTTTATTCTGTTACTTCCAACTATGATTTGACCATGTATATTGTTGCAATATTTCATGCAATTTATAGATAGAGATCTGTCTTCATCACTCATAACACAAACTCATTGTTAATTTAAGATACTTGAAATGCCATGTGGCACAATACCGTAGCTGTTTTTAAGAAGATTCTTCACTTAAATATGACAAATGTCAATTCTAGTAGACTTCATGAGAAAAATCATTGTTAAAATCGAAGAATAATTTCTTGTTCCATTTGTTGCTGTTGACCACACAAGTAACAGTTTCTCAAACAACGTTCAAATTTCTGTCTTTCTTTCTCTGTCCTTTCTCGTCTTTGTCTTTCATCTTTTCAAGTCTTTCTTTCTTTCTCGTATTTGTTTGTCTTTCTTTCTTTCTTTCTTTCTTTCTCGTATTTGTTTGTCTTTCTTTCTTTCTTTCTTTCTTTCTTTCTTTCTTTCTAGTATTTGTCTTCCTTTCTCGTATTTGTCTTTTTCTTTCTTTCTTTCTCATATTTGTCTTTCTTTCTTTCTTTCTTTCTTTCTTTCTTTCTCGTCTCTGTTTTCCTTTCTCGTCTCTGTCTTTCATTCTTTCTCGTCTTTCGTTCTTCCTTTCTAGTCTCTTTCTAGTCTTTTCACGTTTCTTTGTCGTATTTTTCTTTCTTTTTTCTTTCTTCCTCGTATTTGTGTTTCTTTCCTTCTTTCTCGTATTTGCCTTTCTTTCTTTCTTTCTCGTAATTTGTCTTTCGTTCTTCCATTCTCGTCTTTGACTTTGTTTCTTTCCGTATTTTTCTTTGGTCCTTGCCTTCTTTCTTTCTCATATTTGTCTTTCTTTCTTCTTACTTTCTTTCTCATATTTGTGTTTATTTCTTTCTTTCTAGTATTTGTCTTTCTTTCTATCTTTCTCGTATTTATCCTTCTTTTTTCTTTTTTGCCATTCTTTCTTACTTTCTCGTTTTGTCATTCTTTCTTTCTTTCTTTCTTTCTTTCTTTCTCGTCTTTGTCATTCTTTCTATATCGTCATTCTTTCTATGTCATCGCTCTTTCTTACTTCCTTTCTCGTCTTTGTCTTTCTTCCTTTCTCGTCTTTGTCTTTCTTTATAAATTTTTATTTCTCGTCTTTTTTTTCTTCTCGTCTTTTTCTTTCTTTCCTTCTCGTCTTTTTCTTTCTTTCCTTCTCGTCTGTCTTTTTTCTTTTTTTTTGTCTCTCTTCTCGGCTTTTGTCTCATCTTCTCTTTTCGCCGTTTGTCTCATCTCCTCTTTTCTTTATTCTATGAAATATAATTCATTGTATTTCAATTTAAATGAGCCTAATTGTAATTAAAATATTTTGGATGAACTTATCTCTTTATCCGATCATAAAAAGGGAGGAGTCAAAAACAGTAAAAGTTGGGGTGCAGCGTTTCACTTCATTGTCTTCGTCCTAATTATATATTTTTATATCGTAAGCCAGTCATACTTTCCATGGTTCATCACCTCGATTCTTTTTCGGTGATTCATAAAGTATTACCTTCGCCAAATCTCTTCCAATTTTCACACTTGCGTTAAACGGCCTAAGATGTTAACCAAAATTTATTAAAATCTACAATAATCATTGCTTGCATTTTATAATTTTTCAGCTGTGCGGCAATACTTTTTTCTATTTAAATGAGTACCAATTAAATAAATAAAATAAATGTTATATTCATCCACGGTAAAACAACTAATTGGCGATTAAAAGAAATATCACGTAAACAGTCTGATTAATGATACCGATCACTCCCTTAGTACAAAGAGGAACAAGAAATAAAGAATATCGTATGGAATGTTAAATTTTTACACATTTAGCTTATAGGATATCTATGCTAAATTGTTAAAAAATAAAAACAATGAAAATGATTCTAGTGGCCCATCCTTCATGTAAAGGGCACAATTTATTATTTTGGGTCTGACAACGTGACTTCGTCTAGTTACACTAAAACAAAATAATTTTATATATTCTATTAGTTGGCTATTGTTGGTTATTTATTTTCAAATATCTTCAACGTTTGGTTTAATTATGAAATTTAGCTCAATATATATATATATATACAAGTATATAATTGGTATATACGGAATGAATTCCAATAACCAACAATTACTATTCTTAAAAGAGTGCTCAATACAAAGTAGAGCAGATATAATTATTTTTTATAAAAAAAATTATAACATAAGTATGTTATAAAATCACTACAAAAATAGCCATTTTGTTTCAACACACTCTGTGTCTTATCAATATTTATTGATATTTATGGTTTTGGAATTTTCGTTTTAATATATTAAATAATATTATTTTTAACCATTTTTATCTTTGTATATTTGCTCCCTTAAGTTATAATTTAATAAGTGGTTAGCCTTTATTTAATGATACTTTAAGTCTGAAATATTTATATTTATAGTTATAATTTTTATATATTATATTAATTATATAGTTATAATTTAATAAGTGGTTAGCATTTATTTAATGATACTTTAAGTCTGAAATATATTTCAGACTTAAAGTATCATTAAATAAATGAAACTAGACAAACTTGCTTTATAGCGGAATCACAGAGGGTTGTAGAATCTTTCTCTATTTTTCTTTTTTGCACCTATATTTATCCACTTTTGTTCAGTTGCTAAAAATAACGTTTGTTATAAATGTAAACAGTAAGAAGAGTTTTGCAATTTCTGTAATTCCTTCCCCTATTGTAAACGTATTCCTTTCAATATTTCAGTCATTAAAAAGAAATCTTTCTAAATGATTATAATGAAGCTTAGGGCTTTTATTTCGGCCAAGATTTCTAAATTTTTGTTAATATGTAAGAATGTATTTAATTTCTATTCAGATTGTCCTCTCGGCTGGGAAACATTTAATAAATTCTGTTACAAGTTCGTCTTCTTTCCTCCACGAAATTTCGAAAATGCCCGCTTGGCTTGTCATGTGAGTAAAAGCTCTATTTTTATTTCAAATGATTTAGTCCTTTTGCTAAATTACTTTCAATTAATAATGTAAATTAAATCGTGATTGCTGATTGTCGGAGTAAATATATAATTAAACTTTAAATGATATCATCAGTTTTATATTTGCTTTAATTGAACACAAGAAAATTGCGCTTATTGAAAAATAAATGTGTTTTTCAAAGATACTTGCGAACTTTTCTATGTGTGTAAAGACATATTTCCAGATAACAAAACTTATAAAAAAAATTGCTCTAGATGATTGAGAATTTCTTCAGAATAACAATATGATGGAATGTCTTCTTAACAAAATTGTTAATAGGCGCCAATTATATAATGACAACAAATCGACAGATATGACGAAGTAAATAGACATATCGAAAGAAAACCTTTATTAGACATGCTAATCAATTCGAAAATATACTTTAAATTAGCATTTAGTTTACTTGTTAACGAAATAGTTCATTTCTTTCAGTCATGAAATTTATCAAACAGCTTCAAATGGCCATAAAACAATATTTTCTGGACATTTTATTTACTTTACGATTCAAAATGGCTGAGACTTGTTAAGTAGGTTTGGTCAAGAGAATGTTTTAGTCAATATTATCGTATAATGCTTTTCAATATATATATATATATATATATATATATATATATATATATATATATATATATATATATATATATTGCTATATATCATGAATTCTCATCCTCATTAAAATGCGTCGATTTTTATCCAAGTAACCATAAAAAAATAACGGATAAAATCCCTTCTACAAAATTTTCATCCATATATTTTTTGAATGGATATCTACCCCCCCAACCACACAGACACGAACTCCAAAAGCTTAAAATAATGTGTTCCAAGTGGCTCTAAAGACGAAAAACTGAAAATTCCCCATGTCTGATTTGGTACTAAGCTGCAGACGATTCAAATATGGTCCATAGCTCATTACGCTCCATATAAAATATTCATCCACTATTCGAATACTCATAAAATAGGGACTTATCTGAAATAATTGCAGTGCAACAAAACTTAAAGATAAGATCTACTTTCTCTGCCGAATGTTGACGAATATAGGATATGGCTTCTGGTTGCTCTAGTAAAGTTTAAACGACAAAGAACAATGAGGCTGTTCAATGCCAATGTTAGTTTAAATAGATTCTGTATTATTTGCCGTTTTTACCACTTTCCCATTTCATCTTACAAAGATGGATTTTCTGATACCTCAAGATGGCGTGCTTTCTTTCCTTTATGAACAAAGTTCATAAAAGAAATTGGAATTCTTTATTTTCATTTTTGTTCAGCGATCAACCCTCTTTCGAAATTCGTGAAATGATTGCGCAGTTATTTCATCCTGTAAAATGAGTGTCGACGAGTATATTTTTAAAATGTCAAATCTGAGTTAAATAGCGGGATTTCGTTATGCCATGATGATGAGTACGTTCGTAAGTTGCATCGGGTTGCAAGTCTCAGTCAAAGGCAGAAAATGACAAAATGACGTATTTATAAATGATATATTTTGTCTGATATATTAGACTCAAAATAGTATATCACCAGAGTGTCTAGAAAATAAGGTTCACTTAGTTGTGAGAGAAGACATCCAAAAGTTTTTGTTTAACGGCATATCAACACCTTATGGGTCATTTAATGCCGAAATTTAATGGAAGCATTAGTAATTTGGAAGCTTTAGTAATTTCTTTTACAAAAACATACTGCTAGTATTTTTTTCTACAAAAATTTACTGCTGGCAATTTTTCTTTTACAAAAATGTATTGCTGGTAATATTTTTTTCCTTACAAAAATTTATTGCTGTTAATAGTTTTTTTTTTTTTTTTTGTTTATTTTTTTTTTTCAAAAATATATTGCTGGTTATCCGTTTACTATGAAAATGCATTGCTGATACTTCTACTAGAAAAATGTACTTTTATACGTTCATAGTGTTTTGACCCCAGTTTTGGGGTTAACTATTAGCCCATGGCTGGGCCCTAACATGTGTTACCATCCCAGGTCAGGGTGTACATGAGAACAACAGCAATTAAGAGGTGGTTTCACGCTCCTCAAAATCAGTGGCTTTGCTGCCGGGTGTAGTTTATCGTCACACCCAGGACGGGAGATTTGACATCAAAAAGTGTTTTGCTGTCTTTATATGCTCTTTCCACGGAATTTTATAATGTTTGATTTAATATACCGGCTCGTGCGTACATAGGCGTACGTGATCAGTACGGAAGTTCAGTAGTTAAGTCGAAAGCTATGAGAATTCACGTTTTTTAAATGAGAAACTTAACATCGACTTCTTCATGATTGTCAAAAATCAATTAATTTCACGTAGATGTGTGGATAGTTCACAGCAAGTGAAATCGGTGAGCCGAGTTCAGATTTTGGTTGATAATGTTTCGATCACTTTTGAAAAATGCAAGAATCTATCTTCCTCCGTCTATGGGCTAAATATCAGGGCGGGGCCGGGTAACTCTTGCCTTGAGATGGCAACCATTCAATGAGAAGGAAAACTCTGAATTCAAAACCAGTCTGAAGAAGGATATATACTGCCAGGCTCTCTTGAACAAGTTACACCCACTGCTGCTAAGGCTGCTGTATATATGAAAGCCCTTACGACTCTCATGGGGTTACGGGATTTATGACGAGACAATCGCTTTCAT